AAGACGAAAATCAAGAATATTAATTTCTTGACTGAGGCTTCGTTAAAAAGTTATTAATAATTAAATTAAAAAATTTCAAATCATACTAAAAAAATTATATTTAGTTACAGGAGTCAATTACAAGCATTTTTGGTGAATAAACGTACCTCGAAATCCTACGTACTTTTAAGAAAAAAAAAATCTAATGCGAGGTCAGAAATGCTTCCCTGAAATTCATGTGAATTTTTAAAATGTCATAACTTCTGAACGGATTGGAGGAATTTAATTTTTCAAAATGCAAACAACGCGTATTTTAGTGGAGAATTTATAGAAATTCAAACAATATTGATAAAATTGTCCCTTGACACCGTAAAGTGAGAAAAAACCCCCTAAAAATGATCCAATTTTCAAACAGCCATAACTTTTACAATAGTGAATATATTTCAATGAAACTTTTTTCTGAAGTAGAGCTTATGGGTATATACAAAAAAGTATTAGACAACTTTTCTGTAGGGCGTCAAACAAAATTATTAAAAATGAAGAATGAATTTTTAAGAAAAATCGACAGGGATGAAAATTTCTCTATTATTAAATAGAATAATAATCCAGACCTAACCCAGACCTAACCCAAACCTAACCCCACTTAAAAATTGAATTTGCTCTATTATTAAATAGGATTTTTGAATCATATAAAACTATTTCATAAGAATTTTATTGTTTATCATTTCAAGATATTGCTATAATCAATTTATAATCTGAATTTTTTGACGAAAAGAAAAAATTTCAAATCCTTCTAGAAAAATTATTTCCGGTTGCGAGGATCAAGTACAATCATTTTTGGTCATTAGACATACCCTCGAAATCCCACACACTTTCGAGAAAAAAATTTGAGTGGGTACTGAAATTTTTAGATGAAATTAAAGAATTTCAAATAATAGTAATAAAAATTATATTTAGTTACGGGGGCCAATTACAAGCATTTTTGGTGAATAGACCTACCTCCGAAATCCTACCCACTTTCTAGAAAAAAATTCAGTACGGGCGGAACTTTAAACGTTAATAACTTTTTAACGAAGCCTCCACCAACAAACTAGTACTCTTGATTTTCGTCTTATTTTGGCCTCTAAAATCTCCCATTAAAATTATTCCCAGGGGTGGCCGAACACCCTGTATAAATATTGGAACAGTGTAATGTTATATAGGAAATATCCGAGTAATATTCAAATCTTATTTAACTAATATTTGAACCGTTGAAGCATTTGGATATTCGACAAGAAGTCCCTAGTTCCTTCCTTTTTCACTTTTCGCCATTGGAGCAATTTGCAAATTTTTTATTTCCCTCGTAAATGTAGCCAGATTATCAATAAACGTGAAAAATTTTAGCTCTCCATCTCATAGGGAAGTGGATTTTAATTTCCGGACGCACAGATCCCTTCCTTTATTATTATAGATTACTTTCGGTGACATTATTTTCATCATATCGAAATCCGTGTTCCAGGAAATCGTGATTAAAGTTTAAAATGTAGTCCTTTTCTATATTTAGAACAATTCTGATAAGGTACTTACGGCTAATCAGCTATCCTTAGGTCACGTAACAGATTCTCCACTTTTTCGTAGAATTCGAATTCGATAGCTTCGTGAAACTTTTAAGCCATTTTTAGCTTGTCTATCGCTTCTGAGAATCGATGCTAGACTACTTGGTCTCGAGTTACGATTGTATAATTGGCAGCTATTTTAGCCTACGGTGCAATTATGATTTTCATCGTTGTCATAATTTTCAGAAGTCGAATAAATTTCTTGTCAAACGTATAGACAATCGCAAGGTTACATTCTGATTGATTTGTCATTACAAGAGATATCTATATAAGAAAATGTACAAATAATTGATAAATAAGAGTACAAAAGGCTCCACGATCCATAGATCGAAAACCACTGGATTAATTATATACATCAACCAAATGTTGCCTTAAAGAGAAAGAAATTGTAAATCCATCAGGTCCTAATCAGAATTTAAAACTGTTCTACTTGTAAATTCAATAAAACCAACTCGAAGAAACGTAAAATTTCTACGTCTCATACATAGAAGTTTCGCCATAAACTTATACATGTTTCGATAAGAAACAACTCGTATAATACTCAAACATAACTAAATGTTAATTAGTCGCTTCTTATTCGTTCGGTTAGAGCAGTAGCATCGATCTTAGGAAAACTTACCGAGAGAACGATTACTGCACATCTTCCGTCTGATAATTCAAAGAAACTTGATCAACCTACATTTGCGTACACATTAATTTCTTATTGAAAAAACAATCTTCGTTAAAGAATTTTTAATTTCGAAGCAAACCGTGTGAGTGGAACCAATCTCGAACAGCAGGACTTCTGCAACACTTATAACAATTATTCAGTTTTCAAATTTAATTTTTTCAGTGGAATGTAATAAATTTTAGAAAAACAAATACAGAGATAAATATTAAAATTATTTCCGAGGGTGAAGCACGTAGGCGATTCAATAATAATGGCGCGTGGGCGTATAGGAGAATCTCGAGAGGAATCTCGTGACTATTGATAAGATTATAAATAAATATAAATATTTACACATATCGAAAGGCGATGAAGAACAAAATACTGTGTAATTGAGCGATTATAGGGTAATTGATTGAAAAATGAAATACGTCTGTTTGTTTTGTCAAAACGATATGAACTTCTTCATTTTCGTTCACGATTAAAACCATTTTAAATCTTGTGCATCGTGCGTAAAGCAACAATAATAAATACCTAAAACAATTAAAAGATACGTAACATGTAAAACTCTACATTTATTTGAAAATAAACCAGAAGTACTATGGAGGCATAAAATTGAATTTTAATACCAAATAATTGTATATTTGTTACTGTATCTTTAATAGTGATGGCGAATAAAATATTTGGTAGTTGTCGTTGGATTCTCCTCATACGTCTGTTAAAAAATAAATGAAAAATGTCGTAGGCGGATATACTACAATACACTGAACGCTTTGAAATTCCGTGCTTTCTGGGAGGCATATACAAACAAACTATTAAAGAATGGATATTAAAACTTTTTTTTAAATCAAAAGAACGCACATTCATGAATATTTTTCAATACTTCAAAGTGTCATTAGTGATATGGCTTGCATATGGCAGGAACGAGATCGCGTTTCAATGAATAATCTTCGACAGTGTTCATGACTTACTAGTGACGGGCTTATCTGAATTGAAAGAAAATAAAATGATTTTGTAAATTACGTTAATTCCGGTTTCGCGTATCGGCAATTGTTTAAAAAATGTTTGAAGATGTTCATTTTATAGTTTTTATACTTTTGTTACCCTTCTGCGCACCTCTTAGCATTTCTTTAACAATATTATACAAATTCTTAACATTTTTATTCAAAATAGTTGATTGTATTGTAACTGTTTTAAGGGGGCAGGACTTTTTGACGCGTCCATAAGTAAGACATATTACAAGTAACTGTAGAAACGAAAATAAACATTTGATTGATATAAGTATTTGTGGTTCAATTTACCATAGTTAATTTTGTTTAAAATGATCCTTGTTTGCGTTTGTGTAGATATCTTTTTCGTAGATATCTTCACTGTGACATTTATTAGGGAATGACGTAGCCATTGTTAAAAAATATTAATTATTTCGGACAATATAAACAAAAAACATACAAATTTTTCATCCAAATTCGACTTTTCACATATAAATAGCTGCCATTGTTACAATTTTCACTAAAATCACATTTTTCGAACATCAATCCCTAGAGAATATATTACAGTTTCAAGCACTTTTTGAATTTTTGTTTTACCTCGTTCCGTTTGGCTGGAATCATTCGTACCGAATGGCCATGTAGAAAGAGAATTCCTGGAAGCGATGACGTCACAAACGCGAATAAGGATCATTTTTTAAAAAATTACCGCTGTTTTCCATAGCTCGTACTATGGCGAATTAATCCACAAAAACTTACATCGATAAAATGTTTATTTTCGTTTCTGCAGTTATTTGTAACACGTCTTACTTTTGAACGCGTCAGGGAGTCCTGGCTCCTCGAATCGAACGGTGTTCGATTCTTTTAAAAATTTAGTTTCGGTTAGGTTTCTCGCATTTTGCTGTGCATCGTCGATAAAACTCGGTGTAATTCGACCGCGCGGTCTTCTCGGTGGCCGAAAGGGTGGTGGAATCGGGCGAACGGGGAAGCTGGGAGCTTCGAAGGGGGTGCCGAGCGCCTCCGATCCTCGTCCGAAGGTGCACGGTAACGTTTGACGAACGTGTACGAGAACGTCCGAAGCGGTGCCGAGTAGATAGATGACGCTTTATAACGGGACGACATGTCTGCGGGGTTCGACCTCCGCGAAACCGACACCGGAACTTGACTACAGCATTGTCGCTGGTCGGTTTGCATCATCTCTCGTTCACGCTCACCGCCTACGACAGCCAGTGTCAATAAACAGTGTTGTGACAACCAGTTTGAAAAAAGTAGCAGACAAATTGCGCGCACGATCTGTCTTTCATCCCCTCCCCTCCTCACTCTCTCCCTTCCTCTCACCCTCGCTCCCACCCCTTTCCTCGCTAGTTCTGTCGCTCTCTCTCTCTCTTTCATTTTCTCTCGTGCACTATTTCGAATACCATTTGTTTTTCTATCAACTGCGTGCGTGCGACACGCGAGCGTAGGCCACCACCGTGCACCAGTCTCGCCTTCTTCCCTTTCACCGTGACTATTTTTTTTTTTTTACTCTGTCTATGATTTTCCCAGTGTGCTGTCGAACGTACAATGGTGACGTGCGATCCCGTGAGCGCGAGATGAGTGCCGAGGAACGAGGAGGATCCACATAGGCTGTACCGAAGCGCGTGAGTGTATTTGCACACACAGGTCCGTGAACGGTACGGATCCTATGAGAAGTAATCGCATCGGAGGGGTGTGGTACGCGACAGAGCAGCCACCGACCAGTTTCAATCGTTTTCTCGTCTCCCTTTCCCGTCCGCTGGCCTCTTTACCCGCGAATCTATTTTATCGTCCGCGCGCGTGGTGTCTCTGTCCTCGTCTCATCGGCAGTGCCCGTCGTGCCCGTGTAAAATATGATTGGCGTAGAGGCGATAGCGGCGTCGTTGTCGTCGCGGTTGATGCCGGTGCTGCTGGCACTGGTAGTGGTTCTGGTGCTGCTGCCAATGGTGTAGCGCGGGTGTGCGCGCGCGGTGCTGTCTCGACAGCATACAGTGCAGACGGCAGCTTTAGACTTCGCGGAAGAAGGGCCGTGAGCTCGGCCGTGCTCCGATGGCCTGATATACACTACCGGGACGCGTATATGAAGCTACACTGCCCTGACCCGTCGAGTGAGTAGTAGTTAACGCATATTGATACGGCCTTCGAATAAAACTGAGGATCGATCTACGACCAAATTTCGCTTCCTCCTGCAACCCGTTCTCGCGATTTGCATTCCGTCACGTAACCCACCGTTAATTCGTCCTTGTCCGTGAGAATTCCGTGGATTTCGATGCGTGTTCCGTGTCAAGGATACCCTTTTCGCCCGTTATTTTTCTTTTACAACCCCCCCCCTCTCCCCCTCCCCCCACCCTCCTCCCTTTGGTAAATTCGAGCCGATTGATCACCGAACCGATTAAACGGAGAAAACGATAAGGAGAGAGGAACGAAGCGATTTTCGTCGTTCGCGACACTTCCGCGCGTTCGTTTCGTCGGATTTTTTTTCTTTCGTGAAAACGAATACGCTTTCGAGAGAGACAGGCGAGGATCCCATCACCGGGGAAATACGTACGGAAGAACCGCAATGAGTATCGACCATGTATTCCGACAACGAACGAAAGCTTCAAGAGTGCGAACCGGGTCACGTCGCAATTTCTTGACGTGCGTTTTCCAAAATTCCTGACGAGCCAGGAACGTATTTAGGACAGTGCTCGTGCAAAACGTTTCCTTACCGTTCGTTTCGACGATTTCCACAGAACTGACAGTGTATTTTTGTTGACTTTACGTGTATCGATATATACGTTTTATTTGATGTATCCACCTGTCATCCATAGCAATGCCAAAGTGGGAACGTTGAGAGTCGATCGTCCCAGAATGTTTTCGTTAATATATCTGTAAATGTTAGGGGTAGTTTATTGTCACTCTTAACATACATTTGGTATCGATATTGCTATAGTAACGTTCAACGAAAGTCGAACGAAACGAATGCACTTTCCTGTTATCGAGCTGCACCCTTCCGCAATTCTTCGTCGTTGACCGTTGTTTACAAAGTTCTTCGAGTAGCATATAATACCAGTGAGTGTGTATTAGCGGAATGAAACCGTTGTCAGATTCCGTGGAAGCGAAACTGACAATCGGAAAACGTCAATATTAATCCTCAAGAATTTTTTTTATATTGCTTCTTGTTCTTTTCACGAGTAAAAAAATGTCATTTTGTTTTTATTCTAGTATAATTTTGTCGAGTTGCTATCGATGCCAAGAGACGATATAACGAACAGACTTTGATTCGTTCTATTAAAATTTTCATAAATTTATATCCGTTTACCTTTCTGTTTATTTATTTACCATCGTCCAAAACGTAACAGTGAGAATATATCGTGGCCTACTTAGTCGCTTAGTTTACGATTGCGTTATAACGAGCATCCGCCAATACTGTCACAGATTTCTCCAGGATTTATGGATACCGAAATAGTATTTAAAGAAATTTTTCAAGCGCGATTCTGCAATTTGTCTGAAAGTAGAGTGAAACCTTATTATGTGTTGTGCGTCACAAGACTATAAATTGCACTTGAATATATTTTCTTGAACCGATAAATTGAAAAGTAATAATATAGCACGAAGAGAAATATTCCAACTTCCATTTTGTATATTTTATTCTGTTGATCGTTTATTCAAAGTATTTTATTTTGAACTCAGAATTTTAATAAGAAACATCCCTTGTTTTTTCTTCTCATTTATAACTTTATTTTGTAAAATGACAAGTGAAAACTGTCGATAATATTAGGAACAATATCAGATACTATCAATAATTTTGCATTGTAAGACATAAATATTAGAAAGTTGAAAACAAAATAAAATATTAACAATCGAACTTTAGCAAGAAGGCAGTACGATTTAGTCAATTGAAAAACGTATTGCGTATTTTCTGTTGATTTTTATAACAGACTTCACAATATATGTGCTTCGTGTGTCATTCAAATTTTAAATATCATATTTTTATATTTATATTTATATCTATTATAAAAGTTGGAATTATTTGATCATTTGTTTGGGGTCTTTCAACTTAATTATCCACGTGTTCTTTTATTTACTAATTGTTTGTTCAAGCTATTTCAACATCTTTTTGCCATTGAAACAAACTGAAAAATTATTGTTTTAATTCTTAATAAAACAAAATTTGTGAAGAAACTTTCATACGGCAATAAATAATAAAAAGGTACTTAAAAATTTACCAAAGTCGTATGCAAACGAATTAATCAATGTTTCAAATTTTCAATGTTTTCAATGTTTCAAAATTATTAAAAGTACTGAAAACAATAACGCTGCATTAAGGGAGGTTTCTTGTTTGGAGTTTTAGGGATGCTTCCTCAAACGTAAACAGAAAAAGGTATATTTTGAGAATTGTTTGCAAACCTAATCCAGACGCAAATAATATGAGATTTTAATATAAGGCTGTTTTTTTTTTTAATATTAAAAATACGGATACTGTTTATTTTCAAGAGTCGTTCAAATGTAGATTGCGAATAAAATATCATCCGGTGTTAAACATCTCGCCTCCACTTTATCGGAAATAATTCCAAGCTTTGTATTTAATAGAGATGTGGTAATGGTACTAAAATAAATATGATAAATTGAAAATTTTCAAATCGCGTCAATTGAAAAGCAAGCAATCGAATTTTACGTAGCAAAAAGGTACGTTTTAGTTGATTAAAAAAAGTATTGCATATTTTCTGTTGATTCTAATATCGAAAAATTTCAAGTTCGTATCTTAATTTTGGAAACACTATTTTTGTCGTCTCGAAAAACCATGGTTCCAGAAAATCACGATTCAAGTTTAAACTGGACATTTAGTGATCGTTATATTCTTTGTTCTCGATAAACTTTTGTAAACCGAATAAGTTGTTTAGAAGTAAGAACGTTCATTATTTAGTTCTTAGACAACAGATTCTCTTTGCTTCTTTTTTAACTGCTAATTTGTACCATTTCAAGACTAATATACTTTTATTTATTTAACGTCTATGTTTTTTGAATTAAATATCAATAAATACGAATTTTGCACTTCCAAACATGATATTGAGAATAATTTCGAGTATTTATAGTCAGCCATTTTTACGCGACGTAACAAGCCGTCTCCTTTTCCGTAAAATTCGAGTCTCGACAGTTTTCTGAAACTTTCTGGACAGCGTTTTATTTTCCGTCGCTTTTGCGAACGCTCGACCGCCTGTTCTTGAGTTATGGTTCTACAATTGGCAAATATTTCAGCCTGTGTTTCAACTACGACATCCATCGTTCGTATAATTTCCAGTCACGGAGTAAATTAGTTATTAAGTGTACAAGGAACTGGAACAGTCGCAATCTGAGCGATCGTTGCACCGTTAAATACAGCCTTCTCTGCAAATCGGTTACGTTATTATTTTGAGTATATCTTCCGAGGTATTGCACCGATAAATCTTCCGAAGACAGGTCTTTAAAGCGCGAAGCATTCTATGTTTTACTTGTTTGGAAAGGGGGAAAGTTCACGGTGGAAATTGACGAGGGCTGCGCCGGCTTTCGCACACGGTGCAATTTTCATCTAGACACGAATTTTAATTGTAGAACGAAGTATTTCACAACGAACGAATAACAATTTAATCGCTCGATCGTATAAATTGCTATACGTTGACCTTATTAGTCAGGGTTTTCCAATAACAGCGATAGAACTTTCAATCGCCATGTCCGCCATATTTGTTATTTACTTGTTCGGAGTCCCGTAACATTTGTATTCAGTGATGCTTTACAAGTCGTTATAGAGAGACACGGTTGCTCTACGCGTTGAAATTAGTCAAATTTATAAACTAAATTTAAAGAATTTCAAATTTTTCGAAACCACTGGTTCAACTTCTACCCGGCTTTCCCTCATAAAAACTCGGTTGAGTTAAAGATCCGGTGACTGTACTGGACGCGTCATATTTCTCAGGACTCTCTCCATTTCTTTTTGCAGTAAGAGTCTCTTTACCCAATTTAGACGAGTGCTTTGGATCTTGCTACGTAACAAAGCGTCTACCTATTAATTCTGTTCGATTATTTGCTTACGGTGTTCCTTTTTTTTATCATATTTCCTATTTTTATCGGTTCTCCTGGCCCAACTGTTGAGAAGAATGCTCGTAGCATAACCGAGCCATGTTTGTCAGGGGGCACACACATTTTGGCAACATTCTTCCTTCTATAGCTCGAGAGACGTTCTTCGTTACGACCCAAATACCCGGAAACGGATTCATCGGTCCAAAGGACTCTGCTCTATTCCACAAGTGTCCATTTTTGGCGATTTTTTACACACTCCGAATGCATTTTACGATTTTTTGACAATTTAAACCAGCGGCTCTTACGATTAGTCGCAGAGATATTAGATTTATCCTACTATTATTAAATTTTAGTTTGCAAGTTTTTGCAAATATTTATTTCTACTTATACAGGGTGTTTGGCCACCTCTAGGAACAATTTTAATGGAAGATTCTAGAGGCCAAAATAAGACGAAAATCAAGAATACCAATTTGTTGATGGAGGCTTTGTTAAAAAGTTATTAACGTTTAAAGTTCCGCCCGTACTGAATTTTTTTCTTGAAAATGCACAAGATTTCGGGAATATGTCTATTCACCAAAAATGATTGTAATTGAACCCCACAACCGAAAATAATTTTTCCAAAACGATTTGAAATTTTTTTTCCGTCGAAAAATTCCACACTTTCTCGAATTTTTTTCTAGAAAGTTGGTAGGATTTCGGGGGTATGTCTATTCACCAAAAATGATTACAATTGACCCCCGCAATGGAAAATAATTTTTCCAGAACGATTTGAAATTTTTTTTTTCGTCGTTTCAGCACCTTGTCGATTGTTCTCAAAAATTCGTTTTTGATTTTTAATAAATTTGTATAACGTTGTACAGAAATTTTGTCTAATACTTTTTGGTAGACACCTATGAGCTCTACTTTAGAAAAAAATTTCATTGAAATATATTCACTATCATAGGAGTTATAGTCGTTTGAAAATTGGACCATTTTGATGTGGTTTTTCTCACTTTATGAGGTCAAGGAACAACTTTTTCAATATTGTTAGAATTTGAAACATTAAAATACTTCAATCCGTTCAGAAGTTATG